CAGAAAGAGCTAAGGGACTCCCACACCTGCTCCTGTTGGAAGCCAGCTGGGTGGCAGACACAAAACGAGGCAGAGACCCCACTGCAGCCCCAGGCCCTACTCCTCAGGCCAGGACGCCCCCTCCGGGAGACCATGTAGAAGATCAGTGGTCAGCACTTTGGATGTGGTTGAAGACAGACGTGCTTTTCAGAAAAGAGCTTTGAGTGGAGAGCTTCCCTTTAAGCCCTGACTTCCTCTTCGTACAATAGGGAATTGTGACTGCCTTCTGGGGTGAGGCTCAGGTGATCCTCCAGTCTTGGATACCTACAGAGTCAGAGATCTGCAGGCCAGCCACAGCCAGCCGGCCGGGGTTGTTATCAGCGCTGCCGCCCGCATTCTGCCTCCTCCCGCATTCTGCCTCCTCCAGGGTGAGTATCTAGGCAGCTTCCTGGGGAGACCTGGGTTCCCATTTTTATCACAATGACAACAGCTAGTTTCTGGCACCCAAAGCAGGACCACAGCTTTAAAAACTACCTCCTCGATAATAGAGAAGAGAGAGGGATAAATACTTTAAAATAATGTTCCAGGACAAGATGACCAACAGTTTTTGAGAATGGAGGTTTTAGAAACTGAGCCAGGCACGGTGGCTCACACTTATACTCTCAGCACTTCGGGGAGCTGAGGTGGGAGGATCACTTGAGCCCAGGAGTTCAAAATCACCCTGGGCAACAGCAAGGCCTCAACTTTACTAAAAAATTTAAAAGTATTATCCAGGCATGGTGGCACACACCTGTCATCTCAGTTACTCAGGAGGCTGAGGTGGGAGGATCACTTGAACCCAGAAGGTCGAGGTTGCAGTGAGCTGAGATTGCACCACTGCACTCCAGCCTGGGCAACAGAATGAGACCTTGTTTTAAAAAAATAAAAAAGAAAACAATGATTCCGTGTCACACCCATTAGGACGGCTGTTCTGAAAGAGGCAGGGAATAACACGTGTTGGCAAGCACGCAGAGAAGGCAGAATCCTTGTGCACAGTTGGTGGGAAAGTAAAATAGTGCAGCCACTGGGGAAAACAGTCTGAGGCTCCTCAAAAAATTAGAGAGTTGCCATATGACCCAGCAATTCCACTCCCAGGTATATACCTACAGGAACTAAAAGCACAGTCTTGGAATTTATTTTCTTTTTTTTTTTTGAGATGGAGTCTCGCTCAGGTTGGAGTGCAGTAGCACGATCTCAGCTCACTATAACCTCTGCCTCCTGAGTTCAACCGATTCTCCTGCTTCAGCCTCCTGAGTAGCTGGGACTGCAGGTGTGTACCCCCATGCCTGGCTAATTTTTTGTATTTTTAGTAGAGACAGGGTTTCACCATGCTGGGCAGACTGGTCTCGAACTCCTGACCTCAGACGATCCATCTGCCTCAGTTTCCCAAAGTGCTGGGATTACAAGTGCGAGCCACCACTCCTGACCTTGGAGAGATTTGTGAACACCCGTATTCACAGCAGCACGATTCACAACAGCTAAAATGTGGAAGCAACCCAAGTGTCCATTGACAGAAAAATGAGTCAACAAAATGTGGTCAATCCACGTAGTGGAATATTATGCAGCCTTAAAAAGGAAGGAAATCCTGACCCACGCTCCAACACAGATGAGCCCTGAGGACATTATACTCAGTGAAATAAGCCAGGCAGGCACACACACACACACACACACACACACACACACACACACAAATACTGTACAACTGCACGTATACAAGGTGCCTAGAGTAGCAGATTCATGGAGACAGAAAGTAGAATGGTGGGTGCCAGGGCTGGGGGAGGATGCATGGCAAGTGGTGACTTAGCGTTTAATGGGGACAGAATTTCAGTTTGGAAAGATAAAAAATTCTGGAGGTGGATGGTGGTGATGGTTACAACACAATATGAATAAAAATGGTTTAAATGGTGATATCATGTATATTTTGCTGCAGTTAAATAAGTCTGGCAGCCACTAGCACCTGTGTAGGGTGTCACCGTTGCCACCCTCCACCCATGTGGAGCCCGCCTTGCAGAGAAGGAGCTATGAAAGCAGACAGGTAGACGGGGCAGGTGCTGGGTGCAGGGTCCTCTGATCCATCTGTCTGCAGCCCAGGTGCCATGTTCAGAAAGCCCAAGGTCACCCGGGGGACAGGCTCCTCCACACAGAGGCCTGCGGCTGCCAAGGCCTCACCCCTAGAGACACTGGGAACATAGGAAGAGGTGTAACCTCACCTGAAAGCTGCCAGGGCTCAGATGCACTTCAAAGGCAAGACTCCGGGGGAGGCCCCGGAGCAGGAAGAGGCGTGAAGAGGCTGATCATGTTCCACCAGAGTGAAAAGGGCACGCAGGGAGAGGCTGATGGGTTCATGGGGTTGGTAACTGTCTCCCTGGAAGTCCCAAGAGGGTGAGGTGAGCCCTCAGAGCTCAGGGGAGGTGAGTGAGAAGGGCCCCCCAAACCCCAAAATCCAACAGCAGAAGCAGCAATGCGAGGACCCCAAGTGGACAGTGTGCAGGCTGCCTCCCTGGAAAGTGCATGCAGTGCTCCTGGAATTCCACGTACATTCCAGGAAAGAAAGAATGAGGATGAGAATCCAAATCCCCCAACGGTAACTCTTCCTCCAAAGAAGTAAACCTCCAAATTCCCCGAAGGTGCCCCTTGCCGCCAAACTCAATGCCTTCTCTCTAAATGGCAAAGGAAAGTAGGATTTCTTCTCTCAGATTGGATCTTTGTTTTTTAAAAATGCACCTTTGGAAACCAACTCTAAAAGCATCTCAGGAGGAGCCACTCCTCCCAGGAAGCAATCCTGATTTTGCCAGGAATACTCACAAGGCTGCAGGGCCCTATTGCTTCTGCTGCCCTGACCACCGAGGACAGGAACGGGTGGGCACCTTCAGGAAGCCCAGGTGGGTGAGCCCAAGGTGGTGGGATGTGAGGGACAGACAATCACTGCCCTCAGGAAGCTGTTCACCCAGGCGACAAGGTTGACACAATCCAGAGGGAGCACCCAGTAATGAGGGTCCTGAGTTCAGACAGCAGAAGGCTTCCTAGTGGAGGTGGCACTGAAGCCTAGAGCAGAAGAGTGGTAATGAGCAGAGGAGGAGCCCACTCTGTCTCGGCGGTGGGCGTTGAGAGAGGAAGACCAGCAGAGGTAGAGGTGAGATGGGGTTGGGGTGTAGTAGGGCCCACTGGTGGCTTCAAATTGCATGGGTCTTGAGGACCCAGGAAACACTGGAATGGATTTAAGCAAAGAAGAGCATTTGTGTTGGATCACTCAGAGCCATGCTTAACTGTGAAACAACAAGTGGTTTAACCTTTCTTTAAACCCCACTGTGGCTGGGCATGGTGGCTCACACCTGTAATCCCAGCACTATGGGAGGCAGAGGCGAGTGGATCACCTGAGGTCAGAAGTTTGATTCCAGCCTGGCCAACATGGTGAAACCCAGTCTCTGCTAAAAATACAAAAATTAGCCAGGCATGGTGGTGTGCGCCTGTAATCCCACCTACTTGGGAGGCTGAGGCATGAGAATCACTTGAACCTGGGAGGCGGAGGTTGCAGTGAGCTGAGATCGCCTTAAAAAGGAAGGAAATCCTGACCCATGCTCCACTGCACTCCAGTCTGGGTGACAGAGTGAGACTCTATCTCAAAATAAATAAATCAACCTTTGCTGAGCTGCAGGACATGGACTGGGTGGGGGTGGGAGGCAGGGAGCCCCGTCCAGGCTGTGGGATGGTCCTGGACAAGGTGATGCAGCATGGCCCAGGGTCCTGGCAGTGAGATACAGAGGTGGACCAGACCAAGAGAGGCTTGGGGGAGGGGCTTCATGGGTCTTCCCTAAAGTGCCTGACACAGTTTGGCTGTGTCCCCACCCAAATCTCATCTTAAATTGTAGCTGCCATAATCCTCACGTGTCGTGGGAGGGACCCAGTGGGAGGTAACTGAATCATAGGAGCAGGTTTTTCCCTTTCTGTTCTCATGACAGTGAGTAAGTCTCATGAGATCTGATGGTTTTTATAAAGCACAGTTCCCCTGCACACGCTCTCCTGCCTGCCACCATGTAAAACACGACTTTGCTTCTCCTTTGCCTTTTGCCATGATTGTGAGGCCTCCCCAGCCATGTGGAACTGTGAGTTCATTAAACCTCTTTTTCTTTATAAATTACCCAGTCTTGGGTATTTCTTCATAGCAGTATGAAAATGGACTCATAAATGCTTTATTAGAATTTTAATTTTTTTTTTGGCCAATGTCTGCATTCTTTCTTAGAAAATGGGCCAATTTTCTAAAATATCATGTCTTAAAAAAATGAGAGTCGTGAATTCTGGAAGGAGAGGGAGGCAATGTGGGCAAACAGAACAAGCAAAGACCTAGGTTCGAGTCCCATCTCTTCTGCCAGAGCTTATGTAAGGATGGTGCTTAGGAATTTTGAATTAGTCACATCACCTCTCCGCTGGGAAAGAAAACCACAGAGCACAGATTCGAGGAACCACGAGGATCAAAGTCCAGAATCTCCTTTGTTGCTGGGGAACCTAGATCTTGACCTGTACGGCCCTGACCTCACCAGCCAGCTGCAGGGACAGACGCTCCCGCATCCTCCGACCGTGGATGCCCCTGGCTGTGTGTTAAGGTGGAACTCCTGGCCCAGGGAACACCAGGCTGACCCGCCAGGTGAGTCACCCTTCCTTCCCCATGAGAAGAAGCTTGTGAAGCCTGGGGATGGCCGGAGGCCAGTGCTGCAACCCTAACGTGTGTGCTTAGGAGGGGAAAGTGGACATCCGTGCATGGGAGAACAGATGAAGTGGTGGGGTCCCCAGATAGATGTCCCTTACCTCGGCGATACTGATTTGGCATCTGTGTGTAGCAGGCTCCCGGGGGAATTCTGGGGACCCAGCCAGGTAGGTTTGAATGGGGTGGTTCAGAGAGCGGTGGCTGCAGCAGGAGGCTGGTCCTGTGACCGGGGAAGCTCCTCACCCTTCTCATCCTGTGTCCTTAGGAAGACAAGGTGAGTGAAGTTTGACCTTCCCATTGTGAAGGCCAAGGTCAGTTTGTAACCCATTGGGTCTGAGGCAGCACTGGGGGCTGAGCAGACCCATGGGAGGCAGTGGGAGAAGCAGGGGCTGCGCTCCGGAGCCAAGCAGCGGCTCGGGAGGACTCTGGCTCATCGGTGTCAGCTGTTGGCTCCCCGGATGGAAAGAGAACCTGGGCCCGGAGTTGGGCAGCCTGGATTCACATCCCCACTCTGCCCCATACGGGAAACACTGTCGGACCTGGGGGCAGGTGATTTCACCCTGCTGACCTCAGCTTTCTGTAAGTGACGAATAAGAGCAACATCCGCTTCCTGGAGTTGTGAGAAGCACGTGAGCTGCACACGGAGTGGGTCTCGACAGCTATCGACCCCGTAGTTCCCCTTATTGATCAGCACTGTCTGAATATTCTGGAATCAAGAGATATCAGAGTGTAGGATGAAGTGTGCAGCCTGGCACGGCCTCGTCAGTCTTGAGTGGAGTGCAAAAAGCACCTCTGATTTAACTCTGCGAAACACTGAGGGGTTCAACCTTTCTTTGAATAAACTCTCTACTCCACTGCGGTGTGCTCCTGAATGCCAGCCTGGCTTGGAGCAGAACCAAGTGAGCGTCGTTCATTCATGCCCCTCGTGGTGTGCGTGACTGCAGTGATACCTCAAAGTGTCAGATGTGAGCACAGGGCTTCAGGAGACAGCTGCTGACATCCTGGCTCGATGCAGTTGCTGCCTTTTGGGTTACTCAGTTACTGGAATTTTCCGCCTCCTGCCAAAGCCTGTCAAGTCAGGGCACATCTCATTTTGAAGAAAACAAGAATTTTACAGGAAAACACCAACGCAGCCTCTCCTGGGCATAAACAAGGGCCACCGTGCTCTGGCACGTCTATGGACCTGCGAGGTGGTCGGAGAGCTGTGTGTGTTCACAGCGCTCCCTCTTTTCACGCACAGAAACTTACTGGAAATCCAGATATGAAACAGTGCAATCCCAAGGAAAGGCTCACAGATTGCAGGCCGTCTACACCAAATGCACTCTGCATGGCCCCGTGACGGAAGCCCAGGCTGCTGAGTCAGACATGACCAGAGAAGACAGCCAGCGTTCAGGGACCTGACTTTCAGGGAGCTGTGGGCTCTAAGCCTCGTTCTCCCAGGTCGGAGGATTCTGGCAAATGACTCCACCAACGCCTCTTGGATTTCCCATATATTTTATTGGACCTTATACTCTACTTTCTGTCATTAGATTCTTATCCCAGGGCTGAATGAGACATTTCAGTGTATGGACTCTGTTTTCGGAAGGCCAAGCACAAAGCAGATGGGCTTTATGTGAGCAACATAAACACTGATATTTTTTAGGGTCGCATTTTCACTGAAGCTCACCCTTCTCCTCCCAGCCATCCCTGCTTTCTGAATGTCTTGAAGGTCATGATTGCAAAGTTGCAGCCACTCTCAAAGAGAAACGTTTCACTTACGATGTCTCAGCGACAAGTGGTGAGAAATGTAGCTGTAGTGAAAACATAACCTTGTCTGAATGTTAAGGTCTGTTTTCATTTCATCGATACTTCTGAAAAGTGTGAAGTTAGAGGTCTGATGCAATGATACTTCATTTGAAAAATCCCAAGAAGCTAATGATATGGCTTGGCTCCGAGTCCCCACCCAAATGTCACCTTGAATTGTAGTAATCCCCACGTGTCAAGGGCAGAGCCAGGTGGGGAATCACTGAATCATGGGGTTGGTTTCGGCCATGCTGTTCTCGTGATAGTGAATGAGTTCTCACGAGATCTGGTGGTTTTATAAGCATTGTCTGGCATTTCCCCTGCTGGCACTTCTTCTCTTGCCTGCTGCCATGTAAGACACGCCTTTCACCTTTCACCATGATCGTGAGGCCTCCCCAGCCATGTGGAACTGTGAGTCCATTAAACCTCCTTTCCCTTTATAAATTACCCAGTCTCGGGTATGTGTTTATCCGCAGCGTGAAAACTAATACAGCTTCATGCAAACGCACTCACAGAGCAGAGTGCCTGCCCCCCGAGACGTCCTGGTAGCGGCTCCTATGGAGTCCGAGGTGGCCTTTCTGCCTGTGCCTCCCCACCAGGACCCTCTGTAAGTGCTGACTGGAGTTGGGCAAAGGCAGCTCCAGCCTCGCTTCTCACCCACGGCAGGCAGAGCCTCCTGGCCTCTGATAGCGGCCCTGTACTCCTGCATCCTATTCTCCACGGTTGTTCTGGGGATGACCAGAGGAAGATGACTGGCTCCTCCCTGGCCACCTCTCCTGGCCTCTCCCTTGCTAAGGAAGGTCAGGCCGTCCAAGGCGGGTAGGGAGATGCATCAGAACTCATGGGCCCCTTGCTGGAGCTGACAGAGCCCATCGCTCTTGGAGGCAGCTGATGATCCGGGCAGCCCTGTGCGCCACCGTGCCACGCTCAGCACTCCTGCAGCCACCAGCAAGCAGGGCTCATGGGAGAAAAACTCCTGGAACACACTGTTGACAACTGGAAAAGAAAACACCTGAAAGACCAACAGTCATGGACGGGGCCAGGGACCAGGTCCCCAAACGCTTTTCCTGTGCCAAGGTGGGGCAGAGGAGGCTGAAGAGGGGCTCAGAGCTGTCCAAAGGAACAAGGGAATGCAGACAGGTTGGCAGAGTGCCCCCCCCCCACCCCGCATGGTGTCATCCGCTGCCCCTTCCTTCAGATGGAGCAGGAAGGGGGCAGTGAAGGAAGTGGAAACTGCGCACCGCACACCAACTCAGCTTTTTGCTGCTTGGAGCTCAATTTTGTGCTAACTTTGGATATCCCAGAAGAGAGGGGTGTTTTGTCAAGACATTAAAGAAATTATTTTTGAAGGGAAACAAGACGGGCTATTCATGAACAGCGGGGAAGTAGCCTGCTTCGGGGCCCGGCACTCCCGCCGTGCCCATTAATTTGATTTAATGAGATGATGAGGCTGACTTGGGACATCCATTCTCAGCCATGGGGGCCCCCACCTTGGTGCTCCGGAGAGGGCGTTAACACGAGGAACAGCCAAACTTTGAAGCTTTATTTTGTTTTCCTCTCTCCCCACTCCCACCCTCTGCCAATTAACACCAGGGAGAAATTACATCCAGGTGCAGCCTGACGTTGGTCACTGCCAGCTACAACCTTCTTCCTCCCTAACAGTGAGGGGAAGCAGTGAGGCTGGAGATGGTGGCTTCAGGGCCCAGAAAGTGCCAGGTGTGCCACTAACCTGAGTGTCTGATGTGTGAGCCGTGTGCCCTGGACATCTGGCGTGCTTTGGGGCCACAGGGTTGCTCCACTCAAGGGCCTTTGTATCTGCTGGTCCAGCAGTGGGAATGCTCTCCCTCCAGAACTGTGTGTGGCTGCCTACTTCCTGTCATCCCGATCTGGGCTCAGATGGTACCACCTTCCAGAGGCCTCCCCTGACCGCCCACATCTAAACAGAGTCTCCCCAGAATGAATCACCTTCCATCCCTCACCTGGGATTTACTTGCGTGCTCATTTTTCTCCATGGCACTTGTCATTACTGAACACAGCATTTGCTTGCCTATTTCCTCACTTGTTTCCTGACTCCCACACTGGACTGTTGACTACACGCGAGCCAAGAGTGTGCATGTTCATTCGCTTCCACATCCCCAGTACCTGGAGCACCACCAAGCACATAGTAGGAGCTTAATAAGCACACACTGGGAAAATACAGGAACGAGCAACACTGATTGCACCTGTGCATGCCATACACCAGGCTCTGTTAGATTCCACACACACACGCACAGGCGCACACATGCACATGTGCACACACGCATGGGCGCACACACACACAGGTGCACACACGCACGGGTGCACACACGCACAGGTGCACACACGCACAGGCGCACACATTTCTCTACCATGGACTTACCTATAGCTATTTGCTCAATTAACCCTCACAGCAGCTCTTTGAAGATCATTAATCCTGTTTTACAGATGGGAGAGCTGAGGCTCAGAGAGAGGCTATGTGACTTCTCAGTGTCACACAGCTGGGGGTTCAGGTCTGGGACCAGGAATTCCTGATGCCAGCATTCCCCCTCCTCCCTCCCGAGCACCCTGCTTCAACACCTTGGGTGCTGTGGTAGCTCACCTGCTCCTGGACCCCCGTAGCTGATTGTATTACTTGGGGTTATGTCTGTGTTGCCCTGGGTGGGAGTTTCCTTGGCGGAGGCAGGTCTCAGAGGGTGACCACGAGGGCATCTGGCAGCTGGTCTCCTGCTGTGAGAGCCATCTAATTGGTCATTTATCCTGTGTGTGAGCGCCCTTGGTGGCCACTCTACCACATGGTAGAGTGGATGCACATCACATACGTCATGTTGCCTTGTGTCTTAGTAACAACCCATTGACCCACTTTACACACATGTACCAGCACATACATGTATGTACTCACACACGTACACACAAACCGTGTACACACACACATGCACACATGCTCACACACAGAGAATGCACATGCACTTATTTGCACACACAACACACATATACACACATGCACAGATATACACATACACATATACACATGTATACACACCTACACACATACATACCACATACCACACACAAACATGCACAAAATGCACATACATATACACATGTGCACAGATACACACATACACATATATACATGTATACACACCTACACACACACCACATACTACACACATGCACAAAATGCACACACATATACACACATGCACAGATATACACATACACATATACACATGTATACACACCTACACACACACGTACCACATGCCACACACAAACATGCACAAAATCCACACACATATACACACATACACACATTTATACCCACATGCGCCTCAAGGCTCACTAAAAGACAAGTGTATCCCGTGTTCCACACTCCCGAGCAGGGAGCTGAAACCCCAGGGTCTGGCTCTGATGCCGTCTGGTCTGGGGAACCTTGGTCCGTCCACTGCGACCACAAGCTTTTGGTGCTGGCAGCTGGACCCGCTGTCATGACCCTGAAGGGAAGAATGAGGGCTGAGGATGCCGGCGCCTCCCAGAGAGCCTGGCTGTGGTGCTGGTGTGGCTGGACTTAGTGGGCTGCTGCTATCTCTCACCTAGAGGCAGGTCCTGACGGCGGGGCTTCCCCCGAGAGCCACATGCAGAAATCCAAGGGGGTCTGGGGCTTCCCTCCTTATGAGTTGCAGGGAACAAGGCCGGGCAGCCCAGCACTGGGATCACGAGCGGCGAGTGACGGCAGGAACTGCTCGCGGGGTGCTGGGAGTCAAGAAGTCTCCTAAGGGGCCTGTTTGCAGCAACTGCTCTGTTGGTGCTGGCCGTTATTCCCACGGCTTCCTTCAGGGGACCCTCTGTGTGGCCAAGCCAGCCCCACCCTGCTGGCCTCAGCCCCAAGAGCACTCTACAGACAGG